CTTGGTTGAATAAAAATATTGATGAAAACAAACTTGTTCTTGTATTGATATCAAACTATTGGACATTTGTCAAGGGATATTTTTGATTTTCAATGGATTTGCTTGAATATTTGTTCAGTAAAATACAACTCTTTTCAATCAACTACAAAAATAAAACTACAAGAATTTCTTTATTATTCAATAAAATATGATATTATTTACAAAAACAGATTATATTCTACTCGTTTATTATGGTTTCATTCAATATTCTCTACATATATCAGTTTTATTGATCTAAATATRCAASTYAACACCAGGGATCWGTTGTTGTCTTAAACACAGTTTACATTCACTTGTTATGTTATTATTACCCAGTAAGTCTAACACTTTTACACGACAATCATCACGTTTTAATACTGAACACAGACACTGAGCACCAACATCTGTTATATTATTACCACCTAGTACTAGGCGTGTTATCTTAGTACGAGGCAACATGTCACATATTATTTTAGCACATTCATCGTCTAATTTACAAACAAACAGCAACAGTACATCAACAGTAGAAATACGAACAAGAGAATTACACAACATTCTGATCCCTGATGCTGATAAAGATGACTCAATAATGAACAATATATTAACAATGAATGACTGTGTAAATATTGGATGTTGTTTAGTTTGTTCTGCGTTGATTAAATTCACTATATCTAATAAATAACTTATGTACAAACAATCGATATCAGTTATTCCATTAAATTCAATCTCCCCATCCCTATGACAGTATATGTGTTTAAGGTTATTTATTACTCTGGTAGAAAATCCATCGTCTTTGTACTCGTACAGACAGGATAAAGTTAGCAGTTTATTCCTCTCCATGTATTCATACCTTGGTTTGATATTTTCTATCAACTTTTCCATCATTTTTCCATCTTTTTCTCTTGAAAACATTCCCGCCATGAACATGAATGTCACATCGCTCGTTTTCTTTTTCTCTGGGATTTGTTTTTTCTCTACGAACAAAAAAGCACAGAGATATTCTTGAATCGTTAAGTGGGTGAACGTAAATTCAAGTGGTGGTTTCTCGGATGGAGATTTTTTAACGCCAGGACAACAGTCAAGTAATCCACTCGCTTTCAGGTTTGTTATTTCTTCATCGTTAAGRTTGAATTTTTTCATATCATTTTCGTCGAAAATATATTTATCTTCCATCATTAAATTCACCGCTAGTTCAGCTAGTTTATGTAATATTTCTTGTACTTTAGTTTCTTCCATTTCTTCGTATTTAGAAGAGGAATGTTTCTTGATAAATAATATGATTACTTGATGATAAAGTTCTGTCCTTGTGACGGGTAGTTTTTCGGTGGTTTTTGATTCAGTCATGTACCACTTAATGCAGTAGCACATTAGAAAACACATGACAGGAATGTGACCAAAACTTAAAAGAATTTCATTCGTTTTGATGTGATCAAGTGCTTTGTTCTTCATGCTTTCGTTCTTTTTAAAATATTTTTCGGTGTATTCTAGCACTTGAAGTGAAGAAAATCCTTGAATGTCACATCTCACATCAAAGACAATTTTTTTTAATTCCTCGGCTTCTTCAGGCCTCGAGGATACGAGGACCACTGCACCATTTAACATCTTTCCTTTCATAATTTTGGCAATCAGAGCAGGAACAGGTATTTTTTCATGAGGGTCGTTTGAATATCTTGACTCAAAGTCCCCGGTGATTTTCTTTCGTTGTTTATACTCATCATACCCGTCAAGAACGATGAGCAGCTTCTCAGGATTTTCAATCACGTGCTGAAGTAATGGCTCGTCTATCACTGAGTGCTCGTTCAGTAGGGAGGACTTATTTAAGATTTCACGCAAATTAAGTTTTTCTTCTGGAAGAACAAGTTGACGGAATGTTAACAGGAACACAAACTGAAAATCAGGTACTTTGGCATTTTCTTGACCTTCCTCAAACAATCGGTCATGCGACCAATCCCGTACCAGCTTCCGACAAAAAAGGGATTTTCCAATTCCTGCTTTGCCCGTCAACAAGACAGATTTAGGATTGGTCGTGCAAGAAGCTGCAGATTTCTGATCATCATTTTCCGGGCAAAGAAACATTTCTGAACAGTTCGTGAGTTTCGTACTACTCGCTTGAATTTCATCCAATTGCCTCCTGYCAAATCTCYTTKCTTTGGGTTCCTBGAAGTGTTTTKKACYGCGTTGGATAGTCACACTCGTAAAGAYGTCATCGGTTCTAATTTTCTTGTCTTCTTCCTCTGACAACAGAAAATCGGTTTGTTGTTTAATGGATGACTTCAGTTTTTCTGTATATTCTGAAAATCAAAACACAATAATTTAACACCCAAAACACAGGAAGAAAAGGTAAGAATAATTACAATTTTTTTCAACTGGTTTAAAACTATTGTTATTTTTCAAAATTAATTATCCATCTATAGAACTATTTATCATTTATCTATTAATCAGTTGATGCATTCACTCTCTTATTTATGCATTATGYATTCATTATGTATTGATTTATTCATATATTTATTCATTTATCCTTTTATTAATTTATGCATTCATTCATTCATTCATTCATAAATTAAGTTTTAGGATAAATTTTAATTCATTCTTGACCTTGATCTTCCCAACCACGAACTAAAAATAATAAAATTAAAATGGGCTGAAGGTTATCGTCTGTATCTTCATTCTTCCTGGTAAGAAGTGTAAGGATTTGTCTTACACCTGAAATACCATTGCTCTTGTAGGGGATAATTGCTGATGTTTGATTGAATCAGCAAGTCTCGTGATGTATTTTCAGTTTAACATGACATTTATTAGGATAACTTAAAGAAAGTCTTTTATGCTTTTGTTATTTTTACCTCAGACGTTTAAAAACCTCAAATATTTGGCAACTCAGTTACCACTTTATTCCAATGAAAAGCCTCTAAATTGTGTAGACTATTGTGAAGAAATCAAAATTACTAGTAAATGGTGGCCAAAAAGATATTAATATTTTACTAGATTCAAAGAGAGAATGATGTAGCAACGAAAATAATGGCAATTTAATTTGTGAAAAAATGTATTCAGTCCATAAAGATGTAGCAATTAAGAAAATGGTAATTTTGGGAAATTTCTTTTTAACCCATGACAACAGCATTTCGTTAAAACTCTTTGTCTATCCTTTTCAAATTCACAACAGTGCCAAGTGCAAACAGGATCAGGATTACGAGGATCCCAAACTACACTAAGCTAGGTAAATACATATTTATAAAAATTCATCAAAAAAATTTCATCCTCAAATCTTGACTCATACATTAATGTGCCTATGCCAACTTTGGTAAGGTTTGAGTAAAAAAAGACATTAAAAAAAAAAAGATTCTAGCCATACTTGGCCTTCAACACAGACCTTTTTAGCTGGTATACTTTAAAATACCTTGAAACATGGCTTGCTTTAAAAACAGTTTTAATTTTACTAAGCAACCTTTTACTCTCTTTAAATTAGGGAGATGGATGGGATAATTGAATGGAAAGCAAGTGGAAATCT